TATTCTGGATTTTATAATTTTTTTTAAGCAATGAGATTTTTTCTACATTTATGTAGACCGTTCGTATTGCTATATTTTTTTTACCATCAAAATGAAGTTTTAATTAATAGTTAATTTGGATCAATGACAGTGAATATTAGTGAATATTAGGGATATTTGATGAATTGTTATCTTTTTATAAAGTTCGCAACTAGAACAAGTAAGTCTAGTCACTAATGAAAAATATTTAGTCGTAAACGAGTAAGAGAAAAGTAGTGACAGATTATATTAGATAAAGACAGACAAAGTATTACTCTACTAGTTATACTATTTTGAACAGATTACTATTTGAACATTCAGTGTTATCTCAAACACCAAAAAATCCTGGATCTGGTACTGAGTATGATGTGGTTTCTTGTTTTATATTTAGTTCATATGGTTTAATAAAATTGTTCATTTTATGTTTAATTTACATTTTGTTTATATGATTTAACTCTTTCACTACCACAAGCCGCTGGTAGCAGCTTTCGAGTATGCTTCACAATTTATTTTGTTTTGTACATAAATTTCTATTCTAGACACATAAAATTTGTTTGTTCTAAAGATTTAATTTTTCTAATGAAATTTTTCTAATGAAATTTCTCTAAATGATCAAGAATAAATAAGAGCCATATTTTGTAATTATAAAAAGTTGACAACAGTTTGACACTTGACAAAGATAAAAAATCTTGAGTAATCCTTCATAAATAAACTTTTTTAAATTTAATATACTATAAAATACTTATTTAAATTTAATATACTATTAAATAAAACAGCATTAACACTGTAAGGTTTTTAACTTGTAGAAGTGTAATAAAAACTTGTAGAAGTGTAAAGTATTTAGTTAAGTAATTACCCAAGTCTTTTAAAACAATATATTATTTTTATTCATTAAATAAGTTTTGTTTTGGACTTGATTTTTTAGTTACTATTTATAAAAACAATGGTTTTAAGCACTTAATTTATACGCTTTAGTAAAATTATTCTTTTAGTATCTAGTTTATATTTTTGTTTAAACCAGTAAATACTTGTTATATATTAAATTTATTTAGGTTGTACGGTTTAGTGAAGCTATTCAGTTTATATTTATTTTAATTTAAACAGTTTATTGAGATATTGTTTGTTCTTGGTTTTGTTTATATTTAAATTAAGTTTTTTCAGTGTGGTGTAGCAATTCGTTTTATATTTAGTGCATATTTAAATTTATATTGTTTATTCTTATGATTCTTTTTATATTTAATTTGTTTTTATTTTTGTTTTGTGCAAATATTCCTTTTCCATGTGTTCTTAATTGATACAATGCAGTCTTTAGTTTAAAAATTATTACTTCGTCATCTAATAACAGCGCAAATTGTCATTTTAAAGTTTGTTTAAAAATTTACAATTCAATAAAAAAATGAAATATATATTTTTTGTGCCCTTTTGTATACAATTTATGCCTTGCAAAAAAAAGTCCAAATGGCTTACTATTAATTAACACAACAATTTTCATCTTTTGTCAATTCTTTTGAATTCAAATATTTTGACAGACATTTAAATTGTCAAATCATTGTAGCACGCTTTTATAAATGTTATGTATTTGGCATTTCTCAATACATGTCTTATTTTTAAAGTGTATCATATTAAAACCTTTCTCTTAACATTCTTTTATTCATTCAAGTTAAAAACTACCGAAATTGTCAAACGCAAGTTTTGTAATGAACAGTTTTAACATTAAAAATAAATTTGATATAAAATATTTTTATATAAAAATCTTGATTAACATTTATACTTACAATTGTTAAAAACAAGTTGCGCTACTCAAATATTAAAATTACTTTATTTTTAAATGTATCACACACTTTTTTTTGGGATTTAGTAAAAAGTTATACAATTAACATGATTTGGTGATTGTGGCAAAAAAATAATACATCTTGAAAGTATAAATTTATACGATGATGTCATATACCGAAACTGTTGAGAATTAAACATGAATGAAATAAGTTATCAAGTCTACAGATTGGGGCTAACATAATACATACTCAGAGAACCAAAAAAAAAATGGAGGCGGTAAGCTTCGAATAAAACGTAAATTTTAAAATTAATGGTGTGCATTCATTATTTAGTTTAAATCAAAAAAATTTACCCAAACGTTTTTTTTTTAAACAGTTTCTTTAATATAAACACAACTTGTCTTGACACTTAAGGATCCCTTTAACTAAATTAAATTACTCAAATAATTTTACAACTGATTTTGGTACAGAAGTTATGAAAAATGATAACACCTAAAGTGTAACTAAGTTTTGTGACATTGCAATTATACAGCTGTTTTTCAAAACTCCTTCAAAAGGTGTTAACTTAAGGTGTTAACTTAAGGTGTTAACTTAAGGTGTTAACTTAAGGTGTTAACTTAAGGTGGTAACTTAAGGTGGTAACTTAAGGTGTTAACTTAAGGTGTTAACTTAAGGTGTTTTTTACATATTTCAAGAAAAATGTAATTAAAAGAAAATTAATAGGAGAAACTTTTTTTGAAATAATTTTTATGGTATTAAAATTATTTTTTCACAATTTTTCTTCATAAATATTTATTCAATAATGTTTGTAGGCATCTAAATTAGCTTATTTTGTAAAAAAGACAAATTTGATTTTTTTTTTTTTTTTTAATCTTTTTTAGTAGCATTTGAAAAATAGCTGCAGAATTATTCTTAAAATTACAAAAAAAGTTCAATCAGACATTTTTTGTAAAGAAACTCCTATAAAGAAACTACTTTAAAGAATTCTATAAACTCCTATAACATTATTATAAAGAAACTCCCACAAAAAATCAACATTATAAAGAAACTCCCACAAAAAACCAACATTATTATAAAGAAACTCCTATAAAAAGCTAACATTATTATAAAATAACTAATATAAAGAAACTAACATTATTAAAAAAACTACAATCTCCTTAGTTAAATACCAAAAATGGTTTTTAAAATTCTTGAGGTGCTTTCTAATATTTCCTTGTTGATGACTTTGAAGTCCTGCAACTCATTGAAAATTTTTAAGTCATTAAAAGGAGCGTCAACTCCAAAGGTGCATGTTAACCAGTGCTTGACATACACAAGAGCATTAACAAAACTTTCAGCTTTGCAGTAGTTACCTCATTATAGCCCAATCTCTAAAGAGGTACATTTTAGCAGCGTATATCACTGAAGACATCCATCTTGCATGATAAAAGGTCCCCAGGCTTGCACCAATGTACACCTCTATCTGGATTTTCTCCAAGTAAAATTAGCATTCTTTCTGTGCATTCCTTGTTCTGTGCATTCCTTGTAGTCCTCTCTTATTTATAAGCTGCTCTTTGCAGAAATTGCAGAATTTTGCTGTAGTTTCATATTTCTGACTTTAACATTTAAGCATTTGAAGTCATCCTTGTCCAAGATAGAGTCCCATTTTTCCTGGAATCCCTAAAGTATTCATTATTTGGGTTGTGATTACATTCAAATATCGCTTGTCAGGCTGCACTTTGCAGTTTTTCCAGTATGTGATGTCTGCATACAAAATAAAATAACTTTTTTTCTAAAAGAATTTCAATTTTTATGCATGCACCATTTTGCCACCCTGAGATTAAAGCAGTTGTGTCAACAGACAATCCAGCTATATTATCTGCTAAATCCCATTGCTGTACAAAAGAAAATGTAGCTATGGTTTGACTAGACCCAGTGCTACCCACTATTTCTGGAATGCCAATTTACCTTGTTTGTAGCCTGGAGTTCCTGAAATTAATATTGCTAGTCTATCTGACCGTTTCTTGTGAAGATCCTCCATTACTTTTCTTTGTGAAGATACTCCATTACTAAATATCAGCTGCTTCTTGATGTTCAATATAAAAAAACTCTTCTAAATTGATTTAAAAACATATGTGGTTTTTCATCATTTCTACCTTTATGTTTGGTTAAGGTTCTGTATGATTCATACAAATTTGTAAGTTTCTGTTTCATTTTGTCTTTCCTCTGTTTTTTTACTCCTGTTTTCTCTCATATAGCACACAGCTCGTCATGTTTCATGTTTCATACATTTATGTTTTATATCATGTTGCCCTTGTTTCAAAAAGAAAAAAATCACAATACCTCACGCTTAGTTAGTATTCTGTTTGAAGGTAGTTGTTCCAGGTAGTTCCTCAACAATTAAATTTGGCATTTTGAATGTAAACTGGATTAAATCATATTGAAAAAGCTAACTTTATAATTTTCACAAAATGCACTGCAATATTTCATACCAACATAAACATAACCTCAATTTTTAACTATAACAAAACAAAAAGATGACTATATTGTAAAAACGACAGTTGTATTTACTTTTAAGACCTCTATTTCATATGTACTATTTTACAATTTATATACAACTTTTCTAATTAACAAAATTCCCTTGGGATAATTATGTACATGTACACAATTATCCCAAGGGAGATTTGTATGTATCTTTGATAATTATGTACATGTGCATAATTTTCCAAGGAAGTTTTGAATTTATTTTTTATAATTATGTACATGTACATAATTATCCCAAGGGATTTTGTATGTATTTTATGTCATAAACTATTTTTGCAAAAATTGTTTATTACAATTACTAAAATTTTGATGTGCTTTTGATGTATTTTAATATATTTAAAAATACCAATAAAAATTAAAAAATCAGTAATATTTATGTTTTAATTCACATATTAAACATGTTATCATGGCCTTTGATTTTTTTCTGAACATATGTGTAAGATAAAAGTTTAAACTGAGTTTGTTTTTTTTTTACTTTTTTGTTTACGTACAAAAAGTTATAGAATAAAAATAATTTAAAATCTTTCGAAAAACCAAAAAACAAATATTTTGGGGGAATGTGGGACAAGGGTTAGGGTTAACATTTTGGGCTAAAGTTTGTAATTTAGGATTATTAATTTTTAAACTTTGGTTTTTTTGGAACACCCTAATGTGTACATATACAAGTTTTTATAATTAATGGTTTAGTGAGGATGACACGAAGGCAATTATGAACAATTTACTTCTAATAATGGAAAATAATAAAAAAAATGACAGGTGATATTTTTATGTTTATTTACTTTAAATACTTTTGTATAAACACAATAAGTGCGAATCCTATGCTAATTTTTTAGTTCTTTTGCACATTTATGTTTTGAAGTTCTTTTGGCTCATTTATGTTTTTTCTAATTATTTTGGTGCACATATGGTAGTTCACACATATGTTAATTAATGCTTCACACTTGTTGACAGTTTTCACTCATGCTAGTTTGCACTTATGCCAGTTTTTGCAACTGCTTTGCACTTATGGTAATTTGGACTTGAGCCAATGTTTGCAAATTCTTTTGACAAATTTATGCCAATTCCCACTTATGCCAGTTTGCACTTATGCCAATTTTTGTAACTGCTTTGCACTTATTCTAGATTGCACTTATGAAATTCGCACTTATTCAGCCTCCTGGAAAAAAAAAATCAATAAACTCTAAATATTCCTTACAAATTTTTTTAAACTTTTATCTTTTATTATTATCACAACTTAATCATTACATATTTAGAATTATTATTCCAATGATGCGTTTGTTTGATTTACTTTTAACATCTGCATGTTTGGATGTTTATAATGATGTTGAAAATAGGTAACCATTGCTAACTGTTATTTTATTTTTTATGTATAGAATTTTTTTTTTTTCATTATACTGGAAACGTTTACAATAGACTTGTAGGTAACTTGGAAAGTGAAAAATGCTTCTTTGCCTTGGTTTCTTGGTAAAATAATGCATTAATCAAAGGCTTTTTGATAAATAAAAAAAAATATTTATAGTATTTTTTACAATTTTTTTAGCAATGAATTTCCATTGCACTTATTTGAATTAATTAAAAAGGAGGTTTCTTGTTCAGCTGATACAACTAAACTTGTAGCGTCTGTTAAAGTGTAGGTTTAAACTTTTTTTTTTTGGACTTTTTTTCTTTTTCTTTTTGTTGTTACTTTTTTGAAACATTTTTTTTTATAAGATTCTGTGGTTTAACACAATTTGTTGGAAAAGTTCGAAATAAATCTCTTCAAAAAATTTTATTGCTACTTTGTCACAAGTATCCGAGGGTGAGTTTTTTTGGTTTTTATCATTATTGGGTTATTACGAATTATTTATATTTACTGCAATTGTTGCAGTGGTTGTTATGGTTTACTGTAATTGCTGTAAATTTTCTTTTTTTTATTACTTTTTCTCATGTGCTACTTTTCATTCTATTATATATTTTTTTTTAATTTCATATTTCATAATTTCTTGAATATATGTTCCATGTTTTAATCTTTCTTTTTCAATCAATCTTTTTCTTGAATATGTGTGTACATTTCATATATATTTCATATTTATTTTTTATTTTTATACTTTTTTCATACAAATTACTTCAACCATCAAGCTTTAGTTTTTTAATAAACATTGTTTTACTTTAATGTTGATTGTTATATGTTGCAACTATTTATATTTTTATTGTGTGACAAAATACTTTCCTTTTTTTTTTTTCTAGATTCGTGTAGCCACTGCTGAACATTTTTTTACAACTTTGAACACTTTTGCAGGTATTATACCTGATGATGTTGCTAAAGATGTTATGAATTTCTTGATGGATACATCATGGTGTGGCTTTTTTACTATTTTTTTTTTTTTTTTTACCATAATTGTTAGCAACAGACACTAAAAAAAAAATTTTATTATTATTATTATTGTTTATCTTTTTTTTTATCTTTAAAATTAAAATTGATATTACAAAAAATGTTATTATTAATATTTATATAAAATGTTAAAATTATTTATTTAGATTATTAAATTATTTAAAAAGATTTTCAATTCTAAAAGTTCTTAGAGAAATGTTATATGTTGTGTGTTAAACCTAAAATTGGTTTTTATTATTTTTTTGTTGTTGATGAAAGTTTTATCTTTTTTTTATTTTAGGAGTGGAGAGTTAGAAAGTGTAAGAAATATAAGAAACAATATATCAACTTTAATTAAAATACCTATTCCAACTGTTAAGGTATTGATCAAATTTACATTATACATTATTTGTTTTATTTTATTTATTTTTTTGTCGTTTTTAATAAATTTTATGTTTATAACTTTATAATTTTGCAAAAAACAATAAAAATTGTTGACCAAGAAAATAATCGATTTTATCTTTGTAGATTTATGTTTTCTTTCTTCCACTTTTTTTCTTTTTGTCTTAAACTTATTGATATATATAATAGTAGAATATGAAAGTGGAATATATATGTGACAGAAGGTTTTTAGCGATCATTCATCATGTGAAGTCTCGTTCTCTCTGTATATATATATATATATATATATATATATATATATATATATATATATATATATATATATATATATATATATATATATATATATATATATATATATATATATATACATAAAGAGAGAGAGCAAGCAATTTATTTAAAACAATATGAAGGAAAAAGAAGCCAAGCAAAACAACAATATTCAAAAAATGAATCAATTTTTTATATTAAAATACTACTAAGAAAATATTAAATAGTACTAGAGGCCTTTCAGTATTGATCAGTAGTACTATTGCAAATGTAATTAATTACATTTGCAATAGTACTGCTGATGGTCAAATACTGAATTATTGTTACCCATAATCTATACAATCTATTTTGGATTTTCATAAAAGAATATCATTTTTTATATTAAAATACTACTAAGAAAATATTAAATAGTACTAGAAGAATGAAAGATACTATTATTATGTTTTTTATATATTTGACTATTAAAGGCACATGAAAGATTATTATAAATGCATTTTTAATAATATTTACTTTGGGTTACTTTTTTTAAGTTGTTTTAATGGTTCCGAAATTCTTCATACTTTTTATTGACATATGATAAAAAATGCATTACTATTTTACCATGAATTTAGCTTTTCAGTCTGTATTATTTTATTAGCGGGATGGTATTTTTAATTTACCGATTACCATTCCGTTATTTTTTTTCCCTCTACTTCGAGCACTATATATAGACATACACACACACGCACACACACACACACACACACAAACACACACACACACACACTATCAACCAGAACTCTGACCAGAAATCTGAACCTAAAATTGAACCGTTAGTTAAATCTTCTTTTTAGTCCTAGGTTCGCCATCCTTATGTCAGACTCAAAACTTTTTAGCTTATTTTATTCTTCAGAAATTTTCTAGAAATTAGGTAAACAGTTTAAATAGGATAAAAATTGATAATATATATATATATATATATACATATATATATATATATATATATATATATATATATATATATATATATATATATATATATATGTGTGTGTGTGTGTTTATTTATTGTAGAAACCTATGTCAGAAACAAATTCTCATCGTTTAGTTGATGAGCTCGACAGTTACAAAGGTAAACAAAGTTGTTGGTTTTTATTTTGTGTAAATTTTTAATTTGTGTTAACTTTTGTAAAAATAGGTATTTTTTCTTATCTTTTTTTTTTTTTTTTTTTTTTTTTTTAGATCTAGTAACTCGAATAGGTTTTTAAATTTTGGTAGTACTTTCGAATCTGTGTTGCAATCCATGCAGTTGATTTGTGAGATTTAACTTGCCATAATATTTATCAAAATTTTATTGCTTCATCTTCATGATCTAATTAGAAAAACAGAAAAAAACTTGAAAATTATAATTAGTACTATGTTGCTCTTCTAAACTTTAATGTCGACTCGCTTATTTTTAAAGTTGACTTCAAAGATTCTCAATCTTTTAGAACAATCAAAAAACTTTGTAAAGAAAAGTTAGTAGTTTTATTATGCAATTGTTACTATGAAGAAAAAAAGTAAAAAATTATAAATTATTTTATTTATTAAACTTGGAAAATATTTTATAAGCTCTCAAATGTCGCTATTATTTGCTTTTACCCTCAAAAGTAAAGTTTTTTTTAAAAAAAAGATCAGAAGTATATTGCTGGAATTATTTTTGCCCTTTAAAGTAAGGTTCTTAAGTTATTTTTTTTTTAAATAAAAATTAAGTTAAGAAAATTTTGTTCGCTTAAAGTTTTCAACCACTGATTTTAAAATTAACTTGTTTTTACTTTTTGTCCACTTTGCAAATGTCAGCTTTGCAAAATCAACTTTGATAATAAAAATGTATTTATTTACTCTAATTTCAATTAAGAGTTCTTTTTAAAAAAAAAATTAAACAAAAGATTGTAAAACAGTCTGCTTCTAAATAAAATTTATTGGATAAACAATCCAAATTTTAGAAGATTTAAAGGAAAATATGAAACAAGTACGGAGAACGCCACGATATTAAAGTTTTATTTTTGTTTATTTGTGTTACGTTACAGAAGGTTTGATAAAAGATATATACAAGAGATATGGAATAAGATATATTTGAGATTTATGAAAACTATTTGTGTCAAGATAAAAAACTATATGTTTTTTTCTAGTACAAACAATGATTTATTTAAAAACATTACTAAACTTTGTTTTAATATTTCCGTTTTGTTTCCCGCAGTGCGAGAAAAATTTTTTTCCCCTTTTAAATCAAGACCCGAACTTTAACAGTAAGTTTTTAATAGTGAGTGTAATTCAAGAAAATTCAATGCCCTACCAAAATTATGCAAAAATTTTGAACAAACAAATAACAGATAGTTTAATAGTATATTCGTCTTGCAACATCTCCTCTGCACAGAATCTTGCATTAAGTATAATTATGGGAGAAAAATTCAAAGACTATTTGAAAAATGTATTATTTGTCACGTTTCTTGATAGAGACTCAACACAAGCAATTGCAGATGTGATTGCCTTTAGCAATCTTTACATTCATCTAGATTTCAATACATCAAACAAAAATTTGGTTCACTTTAATGATAACTATTGGTCATATGTACCATTGAGTCAAGACTTTCTTTTAGCTATTATTAACATATTAAAGATAAAAAAACTTGTAACCATAAGCATAACAGCTAACGATGAGAGTGCTTTAAATTTTTATGAAATTACTAAAACATATCCAAATCTTTGTCTCGTAGATTATACTGTCGATTTTAGAAATAGTTCTTTTATGGAAATGATTGCTCATAAAATGCAAAATGAACACAAAGTGGATATTTTGTTTATATATGCAACTAAAAGTGCAACTAATGGCTTAAAAAAGTTTCTAGAGATTTTTCATCGTCTAAATGTGACAATAAAAACATGTTTTGCAAACGACTTAATTGATAAAAACTTCATAGGTCGTTCTAAATATCATATTTCATTCAAAACATTAAAAAGAAATGATGATATTATAACTAATTATTTTGATTATTCTCTGGATACTTTAAATGAGGTAAATATAACAGAGTTTGTAGAAACAAACTATATATATAAGGTTTTTATGTTAACAACTAGTATTAATCGTTACTTAAATTATAGTAACTTGTACAGTAATTTTGCTTCCGAATATTTGGAACTTTACAAAAAGCCGTTTACATTATTGACTCTTTATAGAAATGGTACTGATATAAAACCTTATTCTTTAGATGATTTCCACAGCTATGAAAAAGATTCGAAATTGTGTCCTATAATAATTTGTAAACCAGGGTATGAGCCAAAAATGATGACAGTGGTAGATGAAAATTCAATAAAGATACATAACTGGAAATGCATTCCATGCCAAAATAATCACGTCAAAAAAAACGTTGGAAGTAATGAGTGCATCGCATGCTCAAAATATTGTGAGTCAAACGATGACAAAACAAAATGCATCAACGTTTTTAAAAATAGGTGCCTCAATTCAACAGATTTTGAAGGGATGGTTGTAATTGTATTGTCAGTTTTGGGTTCCTTGTATTGTTTGTGCACAATGTTGATTTATGTTGTCCAAAGAAAAACGTCTGTTGTCAAAACAGGTAATCTTATGTATTCGGTTATACAGTTATTGACACATCTGTTAATATTTATAATCATTCCCAATTTGTACATAAATACGCCAGTACTTGCAACATGTTCTGTAAGACATTTGGTGCTTGGATTTTTATTTACCGTTTTAGCGGCCATAACATGCATTAAAACGCGGAAGTACATCAAAATTTTTAAACTAAATCATCGTATAACAACTAAAGAAAAAATTGTATCTTCTTCAGTTGATTTTCTCATTGCGCTGGTTCTTATAATTTTTCAAGGAGCTTTAGGTGGTGTTTTATTTATTTATAAACCTCCTACGTTAAACATAAGTTGGAACTATAAAACCATGACTAAAGATTTTAATTGCTCAACAGATGTTAGTTTTACAGTTCAAGCCATCTACATTGAGTTTGTTCTATTACTATCTGCGTTTCAAGCACTTCAAGCTAGAAATTTGCCATCTTTTTTTAATGAAACGGCATCTATCACATATGGTACGTGGATATCATGCATTATACTATCGTGCTACTTTCCCATTTATTATAGCTCTCAAGATGGTAAATCAAAAGCCGTTGCAATATCTTTAACAATGGCTATTGTTAACATATCGTTAATGACCTTAAAGTTTACACCGAGAATAGTGATGATATACTTTAAACCAAAAAATAACAAAATGGAGTTTAAATTTAAAATGATAAACCAATAATTTAAAAAATTAAATTCAGAGAAATAAAGTAATGTAAACTTATTTTTTAAAAGAAAAGTTATCTTCAATCGATTTAAATTCTAATACTTAAAAAAAATGTTTATTGGTGAAGAGCCTTATTAAAAATACTTTACAGAATAAGTGTTTTTACCTTAGTAAAAACACTTATTCTGTTTTTAAAAGTCAGTTAAAGTGCATGCGGTTTTGTTGGTAAGCATAAAATACTTCTAAAATAATAAAAAAATTACCTAACGCTTTAACTATACAAAATAAAAACTTCTAAAATAATAAAAAAATTACCTAACGCTTTAACTGTACAAAATATAAAAAAATGAGTATATTTTTATAATTCAAAACTTAACCATAATATTTTTATAAGAAATGAGATGACTATATTTTTCATAAATTTTTCTCACAACCATAATATATTTGCTTTCTTACCAAAATCTACTGAACGTCTCACAACATTTTAAAACAAACTTGACGAAGCTCAATCATTGAGCTTCGTCAAGACTTCGTCATTGAGCCTCAATGAAGGATATACAGAAAGCACCGTAGAAAAGAGTAGCAAATGTTAAAAAAATAAAGAAAAAATTACTAAGGAAGTTTGTCTAAAAAAATGATAAAAAACACAAACATTTAATGAAGACCATGAGATATTGAGAATTGCTAAATGATGTAAGATAGCTCTTCAATTTTTAAAACATTTTATAGAAAAAAGTATAAAGAACTTTTTTACTAGAAGTAATTATGGATGACAAAAATATTACCACAACCTTTTCATAACGACCTTTCGAGCATCTCCTAAAAATTACAGAAAGTATAATATCTTCTGTTATGCTGCCTAATATAACAGGATTTGAAAAATATCTTGTAAATATAACACTTATAAAACGCATTTGCATAATAAGATGAAGTTGTTAACTATTATTACAAAAACAAAAATAAAAACTACCGATAACTTACTAACAAAGATTGAATAGTGTATATATATAAGTGTATATATGCTGAATATGCTGAATATATGCTGAATAGTGTATATATAAGTGTATATTTTTATATATGAAACGCAGTTCATAGTGTATATATAAGTGTATATGTGTGTATGTAAAACGTATTTGCGTAAAAAGCTGAAGTTGCTAATTAATTATTATCACAAAAACAAAAATAAAAACAACAGCTTACTCACAAATATTGCAAGCTGAGTAGTGCATATATATATATATATATATATATATATATATATATATATATATATATATATATATATATAATATCTGTGTGTGTGTGTGTTTACATAATAATAAAGTAACAGTTTTAATTGGTTATTTCATTATGCCTGTTAGGAATTTAGAAGATGCAAAATTTTTTGCCGTTTAAATGAAGACATGCTTTTTAAGACTATTATTTATATATTATTTTAAGATATATTATTTAACAAACAGTTAAACCAAACTGTTTGTTAAATAATATATTATGTTTTTAAAGATAATTATATGGTCTGTTATACATAATACGCTCAAGCAACTTTAAAAAACAGTAAAGAATAGATATTGGTCTGAAGCTAGATGGTATAAAATCATCGCCATTTTTGTATACAGGAACTACTCATGCTACTTTTAATTGGCTAAATAAAAAATATCGATAAGATAAAAAAAAGAGGTAATTTAATAACATCAAAAACAGCTTTTAGAACATTAACATTGGTGTTCTCAAGCATGGCACTTTTATTTGTTTTAAGTGCAAAAAATCACGCACGGAAATTCGTATATGTTTTTAGCACGTATTGTGCTAACTCCAAACTTAAGACTTTTACGTATTGTGCTAACCCCAATCACAATATTCCAATAAACCTCCAATTAACCAGTGCACTTTTAAACGGCTTAGTTAAGGTATCCTATTCACAAAACTTTATAAAAAAAACACATTTAAAGAAAGACCACAAAAAATACTACTTATTTATAATCAAACTATATTACTATCTTATAATAGATACATGACAATCTTGACAATCCAAAGATGGCCATTTTATTATATACATACATGCATACATATATATATATATATATATATATATATATATATATATATATATATATATATATATATATATATATATATATATATAAATATAGTTGAAGTTCACCAGCCACATGATGTAGCATAAATTGTAGCATGCTGTAGCATAGCAGAATTGAGATCCTTTTCAAGCTCAACTGTTTCCTTCAAGCAATCAGAGAGTGTTGGTTTCTTATCAAGACAAGAATAAAAGGTAGTATGATCAGCAAACAATGATCGAAC